TTTTTCTGAAGAACAAAGAGAATCAAATCTTACAGGACAAAAATGGGCCATTCAGCTCATCTTGTCTGTGGTGGTCCTTTGTAAGAGCTATCCACTTAAAAGTATCAGATATTAGGTAATTACTTTCTATTATTAGCAATTGTGGTAAGTGACAGATTTATGCCTGGTTTAATAATGATCTAACTGATCTAACAACTCAGTCATGTAGCTATGAAGGAAGTTCTAATTAATCACAGGTCATTTGGCTCATTTGAGCCTGTCCACCAGACAATAAGATTATGGTTGATCTTCTCAGTTCTACCTTTCCCACCATATAATCATTTGCCTCAATTCCCTTTATTATTCAAAAATCTGTTGGTCTCTGACTTAACTACCTCTGAGCATCCACAGCTCACCGCAATAGAGATTGTGAATTTTTGGAAAGCTGAGAGAAAAAATGTCTGCACCTCTTACCCAAATAGCTGACTTCTTATTCTAAGGCTATGGCCCCTAGGTTTAGAACTCCTGATCAGGGAAGCCTTCTGACATCTGTCCTGTGAAGCGCATTAGCAACTTCATATGTTTCAACAAAATAACGTATCATTTTTCTCAGCTTAATAGGAGTATGGATACTTGGGTTACTCAGTCTCACCTCTTAGTTACATCTTCCAGCAATCTGTCCATTTGAGGCCATCTCCCACTAATCTCCCTTCAATTTGAGATCTTACACCTTCACCATTCATCGCATCCAAGCCCTTTCAATGGAAACATTACCATAAATCCTGACATGCGACCTAAACAACTTGTTGAATTTTAATTTGATAATATTGCTGTCAAGTGATATGGGACATCTTACTAAAGTAAATGCAATCTTTTCTTTGGATGTGGGACAATGAGCATAGAAAAATGTTCCAAAGCACTTCAGTAGCTGAGCCAAAAATGACATTTTAGGGCAGTAACCTTAGTGAAAGAAATGAGTTTGAGGAGGAATAGGAGGCAAAAAGGCAAAAGAGAATTATTGGAGGACTTGGGAACCAGTGTAGCTCAGCAAGAGCCAGGATTGTGTCTAGTGAGGCTAGATGAAGAACAGCACATTTGCACCATAGTTTTGGATAAGCTAAGGTTTGAGGGAAATGGCGCGTTCGGATAAGAATTGAAATATTTGAGTTTAGAGGCAGCAGACTTGTGAATGGTAGTGTCAGTAAGTGGACTTGGAGATGTGAATGAATACAGAAAAGAATATAGAATGGAGTCTGAAGGTCAGCGTGAATTTGAATAAATGACCTTGGTTTAAAAACAGCCTGGTTCAGTTTGATGGTGAATAAGAGAGAAGCCCTCCTAATGCTCATTTGGAAGATACTGTGGTTTATTGAAGATGGAATGTCAGATAAGCTGCTTAATCACATAAAGGAAGTTGAAGAGGTCAGGAAAGTTGACAGGAAGGGAGAGCTAATCCTCCTCAGCGTACATCTGGAAGTTGGCACCAACTCTGTCACATGGACGGAAAGCAATTAAGATGAGTTTTTCTAATCCATAATTATCTTGAAATCTTGTAAAGTGAAACTTCAAAGAATATTTCATCTGCACTGTCTTAATTCTTTAGGCTGATACAAGGAGCCACTTGGAAAACATTCTTCAGAATTCCTTCCCATCTGAACCCATTAAACATTCCTTTGAAGAAATCCCAACACTTGAGAAGCTTCTCGAGATGAATGGCGAAGAATGTGATGCTAATAAAGCAAAGACATTAACCAGGTAATTGATATTACCATAAATGTGTTATATTAAAGCAACTGTGAAGTGGAATTTTGTAACTTCACCATCTAAGAAATAGATGGTACAGTTGTAGGAGCTTGCCTTAATTTTAGCAGGTACACTGACCACTGAAAATGTTGTTTTATCTACATAATTTAGGTGGTAACTCTGGCACAAAATAGTGTCTCATCATGTGACTGCAAAAAAGTAAACAACAATTACTGTCCAAAGATGGTAAAGCCTGTTATGAACAAGCCTTACAGAAACAAAATTCTTAACTAAATGGGAAACTCGATGGGTAAATGTCTCCTTCTGTGCTGTACTGTTGTATGTTGCTCTTTCTGTAATCAGCTCAGTCACAAAAAATATCCCATTTGACAAATACAGATTTTGGAGTTTTGTTTTTCTCAAACTGAAGACAAGTTTCTGGCTAATGCTCGAATATTTCCGGGCCTGATTGGGGAAAAACTGCAGTCCAGGAGCTTGATAAAATTTTCTGATCAATCTGTTCAGAGATGTTATTTGGCACACCTCTAGAGCAGGTGTGACTTGAGCCAGGACCTCCTGGCTCAGAAGTACAGACATTACCACTGCACCACAAGAGCCTTTTAATACAGAAGTCCTGACATATATTTACAATCCGCTGTCATTTGTTCAATTGAGATATTTTCTACTCATTATTATACACTCCTCTGGAGCAGGTGGGACTTATACTCAGACTTCCTGGTCCAGAAGATGTGGACGCTGCCATTGCATCACACAAAAGCCCAAAAGCTTAATCATTTTCTGTAACATTTAAGTTTCAGTGATAAGCATTTTGAATCAAGATATAGCGTGACCCATCTCCAGTGCAGGTGGGACACTAACCAAGCCTTTTGGTTGAGGCAGGGAAACTATGGCTGTGCCACCTTTTCGTACAGGAGTCCTACCATACATTTGTAATGAGAGCTAACGTTTGTCCAATTAATGAGGACGTTTATGCAGAGCTGTTTGTGCGGTCCCTTAAACTGGAGCATTTAATTACCAGTTTAACGATAGCCTACTCTCAGCAAAGGATCATTCATTTCAAACAGAGATACCATTGAAATACCATCATTGTTAATTAATACTCAGCTCTACAGGTCTGGAAGTCTGCAAACGTTCATGATTTGGTCCAAGAAGCCTGTTGGTAAATAATAATTGTTTATGTGAGGAGGCTACAAAGTTGCTGAAAGCTGTAACATCAAGCTAATCTTTGGGTCACACCCATCCGTTCTACCTCAAAGTAAAATTGATGTGATCTGCATTATGTCATTGTAAACTAAACTCTGTGGTTAGTACTTTTTAAAACGTACAACTAAAATAGAAGTGTTTGATTTTAAAAACGAAATGGCTAACATCACTTATCCCCCCCTCGATAACCAGATAAGGAAACAAATTGTGTGTGTGCGCGTGCGCGTGTGTGAGAGTGTGAGACTTTCAAGCAGGAAGGAGAATTGGACAGGAAAGGTACAGGAAGTCTCGTGATTTTCTGTTGAGGCTATTTTATGGAAGTGGGGGAGGAGGACAGAGGTACTTTTTAAAATTATTTAATGATTGGTAAAATGAAATTTAAGGGAAGGGGTAATGATTTCTGAGATAAAAGCAACTTTACCATTAGCCAGTGAGATGTAGTAACAGAGGGAAAGGGTTGTGTATAAGTTTTGGGTTTTGCTACTCTCTTCAGGTCAGGCAGAGTCTAACGGTTCAGGTGCTCACTCTGCTGTACAATTATTAGTTAATACATACTTTGTGGCAATTATTAGCTCCTCAAAATCATTTTTGATTACCATTTTGGAGGTTGGTGAGTTTTTTCCAAAGCTTGTTTCACAGACATTGTTACAATGAGGTTGATGAGTAACACCATCATTTTTCAGATCCTGTTTAGGCGCATCCTGAGAGGACTATGGAACTGACAGAGTCCAGGAAAAATACCAAGCTGGGATAGAGGGTAGAATCATGAATTTGAGATAGAAAGTAAGGGAAGTGAAG